AAGTTCTCATTCATACAATATATACAAATAATAAAGAAATAAATATAAATAAAAGAAGTAAATAAATAATACTGATGAAGAAAGTAAATAAAAAGAAAAAAAATAAACAAATAAAATAAAATAAAAACTTCTAAACACATAATTATTTTTAGAACATCATTTCAAAACTGGCAAAGAAATATCCGGGGATCCTTCCTATAGCAATTTGGTAATAAAATAAATTTTTTACTTGATGATATAATTTCTATGACCGCGACTGTACTTTCAGTTACAATCTTATAATATTTCACTAATTAATGAAGAATTTTTAGTGTAAATATTCAGATTTTTTAAAAATTATTCGTTGTTTTTTTAGTACAAAATATAAATAAAATTAATTATTTAGTACAGTTCACTTTACAATTAAAATCCTAATAATAAAATCCTGTTCAGTTATTTTTTTGCAAGTTAAAATTATTGCCTACCTTCCAGCCCCTCAACTGGATCTGTTAGTTCCTACAAAAAATCTTTTTAAAATATATTAGAAGCAGTTTCTGAAGTACGTAACTGTTATAAAGTTATTAAATGGAACGGTTAATAAATGATCTGACATCAAGAAAATTATATTATTAACTACAAGTAATAACAAAACCGAGTGGGATTACAACAATATATTAAATCTAGACAGAATTGCCAATGAATGTTCTAACACATATAATATAATTACTAAACCTAATGAAATATTATTAATTAAGTGTATTACAACAGTTATCCAAAAGAACTTCCTACTGAAGAGGTCCAGAAAAAAAAAATTATCTGAAGGATGTAATGAGGAACACCAACGAAGACCAATCAACCAAAGACTTTAAACTTTTACGACTAAGATATTCACTATTTTATTTATTATGTTTGCTTTTGTTTTCATCCTAACAATAAAGACATTAAGACTAAATTACACATAATGGATAAAATTGTTATAGATAAACCTATATATTATAGATTATTACAGATACTGATAATAAAAAATACACGATACTCATACAAATACAGGATTACTTTGAAAGGGAAAGAACTAAAAAGTACATAGTAGGTTTGTTTGCGAATAGTGGGTTGTCTCTATTTGGTTAGTCTCTCAAAGTGACATGTGCTGTTTCTGGTCTGTATTGATGTGATTCTGTGGTTTCATTCTTGATCCTCGCTGAGCTGGTTAAACGTTAAATGGTTAGTTATTTACAGCTTAAACTTGATAATTGATAATTAGGTTTTGAATATTGCAAAACATATATTTTGAGAAATTCGGAATTTAAAATTCGCCGTATAATATCCCGTGGCTCTTTTTTACTTTAAACACACCAGTGAATATTTTTCACCTTTGTGATTTCACAGTTACGAATAGTTCCTAAAATATGTTACGGAATTCATAATTGATACTTCAAATATCGGTTTGATTAAATGTATGAAACGACTAGTTAAAATGTTATTTACTTGGATGATAGGTCGATAGAAATTTTTATTTGTTTTTGGGGGGTACCCCATACAAATAGAGCCTAGCTTGGCTATTGTACAATAATATGGTTTTACAAGTTACATACATATCATTTAAATATAAATAAACTTTACAATATTTTACGTTTAGAATGGGTTTTACAAAACATGAAAAACAATAAAAATTAAAAACATAAAACGATTACTGCATGATAATAGTTATATGAACCTGTTACTATGATAGAACAATAAAAAATAAAAATATTTGTATATATATATATATATATATATATATATATATATATATATATATATAAACAAAATATTACTTTTAACATAAACTAAAGACAAACATTTAATAGAACACGGGCTATGATTAACAATTTTGTGTATGCACTTTGTGTACTCCCATTGTATAATAGTAAACTTTATTTAATTTATCCATATAATCTATATTCAATATGCTTTCGATGTTGTTGTTATCAGAAGATTCTGAGATGAAGTTATGGAGGAATTTTTATCTATAGTCATTGTATGCTGGGCAGTGAAGGAGAATGTGATGTGGACTATTGTAGATAAATTGGCTGCATAATATACAAGTTTCTTGAGACTCGATCGAAAAAGTTGTGTTTTTTGCATAGATTCTGATATGCTCTGGATTTGCAACTCTTAATTGACTCAATTTCTTTATATGGACTTTGAATGTGAGGTACGTTTCGGGATATTTATTTGGAGGAGAAAGTATTAATATGAGGATTATTTTGAAACAATTTTGCGCTGTATTAAAAATTCCATGCCTTTAGAAAAGTGAATAAATATTGTATTTATGTTAGTCGCTTTTAATAAATTCGTAGTTATAACATTAGTGAAATGTCTTTTCTAGGATAGGTTTACTTTCTATTCACATGTTCAAGGAACTGTTCATAACTGAAGTGAAAAGCGAAACACTGATGTGTTTAAAATAGAAAAGTACTATGGTTTACGATAATATGCCAACAAAAATATAATACACAATCAAATAGTAAAAAAGGTAATAAAGAAAAAAACGGAGCCTTCAATATATTTTCTTTAAAAAAATAAAAATAAGTAGAGAGACTTCATTAATTTATTTTTCATATTTACGATTTTTATTTTAAAAATTACTTTATTCACTTCCGAAGAGGTCCTCAGAAGAGGTTCCAGTTTTATTTTTTGTGTGTTTTTTTTTTTATAACTTTACTGTATAAACATTACATAGATTTTTTAAGATAAGATCGTTATATTTTTAATAAAAAAATATATCTATATATATTTTTAAATATATTATCTTATTAAAGAGTCCTCAAACATTAATCCATCACTAGTCACTAATGTTGTAGATAATGTCACTGACGTTTTCCAATTATTTAGTTTTAAAATGAAATAAAACTTTACTTTTGGCATTATTCTTAATGTGTTTGCAATTGAATCTAACTACATAAAAATTCTTTTGATTGCTTTCTCTACTCTAATATTTCCTTATTAATTTTTCATCCTGAATAAACTGTTCTCAGCACATGGAACCATATATTCATAATTAGACAATTTACAATTAGCTAATTTTACCTTATTTAGAATGAAGCATTATTTTTCATTGGAAGTATACTTGATAAAATGCTTGTGTTTTATACATGCATACACCGGCATTTACGTCATTTCAGCAATGGCATTCAACAAAGTAACGGAGTAACCTTCTCCAACAGGACTTTAGAGGTATATCTTTTATTCTAAGTTTACTGCTTTAAAGAATTTAAAAATCGCTAATTATTTCATTCCTGAGGTAGTAAGGGGAATTGTTTAGAATTTCTCGGATTGAGTGGAAGGGAGTTGTTCCATTCCAACAACATAGTTTCACAAACAAGCCCTGTTGAGAATCCTGCGATGAAATCAGTTGTCTGGTAAATTTTTAACTAGCTAAAGTCATTCAGGAGATATTAATCGTTTTGATACCGTATAAATTTCTTAAAATTTATTAGGTTGTCCTATAAGCCCTTTCCTTTTTCTTTATTTGTTTTTAAGGTTGATTTACTGTGTTATGTATGAACCGTTTCTCCTCTATTACCTTCTCTTATCTCTCAGCAAACCTTTTGTACATTTTTTCCAAAATTGTTGAGTTTCCACTTGAAAAATATTCATCGAGATGCCTTTGTATTTTGTTTTCGGGTGTTTGACATTTATCACAAGAGAATTTATTAACGGAAGAAACAAGTAATAATAGGATTTAACAGTGTCTGGGGAGTACAGATGATGAGGAAGAAATCCCAATCAAACGGTAAGAATTTCTTACGGCCAACGAAACATGCAGACTTGGCCGTAAGACAGAAACTCTTACAGTATGAGTGGGCAGTGTTGCCCAAAATCGGTCTTGGTCTTGCACTTCGCAAGACCAAGACTAAGGCCGCCCAATTGTTGCCAGCCCAAGAACAGAACTGGTAAAAAAAATCGATTTTTTGAATAAAAATTAAGACAAAAAAGTTATTAATACTTGACAATCTTGGTTACTACATGTAAATAATTGGTATAACCAATATACTTTTGCATTTAACTCCTCTAATTTTTCATTCGGGCTTAGTTAGCTTTCTCCTATCTAAAAAAATTACAGTAATATCTCTATAGTAATAAGCAAATAAGTAACTGCAAGACTGTTGCGAGACTCTTGCGCAAGACCAAGACCATGACCAAGACTGAGTTTACAAGACGAAGACTCGTCTCGGTCTCGTATTTGGGCAACACTATGAGTGGCACGTTCTGCCTCACTCCCCAGACCTTGCCACATCTGATTATTACTTGTTTCTTTCTTATGAAAAATGTCTCTCCTTGATAAATATCAAAAACCTATTAAAAAATATATAAAAAAATGCATATCTGTGAATATTTTGCGAGTGAGTCTCAAAAATGTTGGAGAAAGAGTATAAGAGGCTTCGTGAGAGATGGAAGAAGATAATAGAGCATAACGGTTCACATATAACACAGTAAATCAACCTTAAACAACAAAAAAAGAAAAAGGAAAGAATTCATGGGACAACCTAATATAAATGTAACGAATCAACAATCCTTATTTCAGGAAACTATCATCTTAAAAACAAATAATTAACAAATTGTTCGATTAGATAATACAAAATATTCTATTACCGCATTATGGCAGTGACTGAAAGAATGAGTTGAAGAAGAATTAAGTAAAGGTTGAGATTGAAGGGAATCGATGGCGAATCTCTGGGTGGAGGCAATTCCCCCAGCTCCCTCCAACTACCACCGCTATCAACTATTAAATATATTATATATATAAGAGAAGAAAGAAGAAGAAAAAGTCTTTTTATTTATCAAAATTACAAAATAATATTTTTGGATTTAAAATCGAAAATCAGACGTGCTACATGGTCTGTTGACCGTCAGAGGAGTCTGTGTTTCATAAGAAAATTATATTTCAATCTATTTATATACAACTAATTAATAGGAAAATAAGAACAATAACAAATATTTTAATTACAAAAACAGTGGTGACAAAATTCTCCAATTTATAAATTGTTAAATTCTCTGGTGAGCATTATTCTATCGTAAAAAGCAGACTTGCAGTAATTTACCAATGCCATCCAATTGTTTCCATTTAATAAATCAATTACTTGATACCGAGATGAATTTCTATACTTTAACCATTTAATTCTAAATACATAGAATATCGGACAAGCAGCCAGGAAGCGATAGAGATCTTCTGTTTCGTTTGTATTACACATGCTACAATTATTATTTGTTTACTGGAAGTGTTTATAATTTAAGTTCAAATATCAACTCTAATTTTAATTACCCATCTGATCAGCTTCAATGAGCTTTTGTCATCAATATAATTTACTGAAGTTAAATGAGGATAAAAAGTGAAAGTTTTAGAATTCTGAACTTTAATCACATATTGATTATATATGTCTTTCTGAATTTGAGTTCTTAGTAAATATAAATAAGCTCTCCATAGCATCATCACAGTTAGATCGATTTAAATTGAAATTTAATCCATGTAGTTCTATCAGATTAAGTAAATCCCTAAACCATGCGATTTCTTTTTTAATTATCTGTAGTGCTGAAATTTTTGATACCTATATATCATAAAATTAATAATATATATATATATATATATATATATATATATATATATATATATAGTTATTATTATTATGAATAATTAAATCTAAATTTTTAAAAGTTTCCATGAAAATATTTATTTTCTATTCAATAACATAAAAGCTATTCTATTCAATAACATAATTAGCTACAAAAACTATTAGACATTTGTTTTTTCGTTACTCTCCATTGTCCTCTACGATTTTATAGCCTAGATATTTATTTGTGTAAAATCTTCAATTTTCGAAAGGTATATTTTACATCTATATTACTATTTAATTTCGAAAATCTCTGTCCATTATTTATTATTACAAATTAATAATTTAGTTAATTATCTCTCTATTTTATAAAAAAGTTTTTAGTGACCGATATTTTATTTTACATATAAGGTGAAATGTCCGCAAAACACCACCGTTATGCGGGTTTCCGGATACTGCGCCCTAACCCCAGATAAGATTTTTTCTAACTGTTGAGGATGTAAGTATCAACTATTCCCCTCTTTAACGATTTCTGTCTTTAATATAGTTTTTTCATTTTTGTATAATTTGTAAAATGGGAGTTGATCCGCCGTTAGGCCTGGTTCCAAATAAATATGCTGATCGATTATGATGTTGTTCAATAAAAAATGTACTACAATCAATAAAAATAGTGAATACTTTTATTTATATTTAACAATAGCTGATGTACCCCTCGTTGACGGGCGTATAGTTAAAATTTAAGAATCTTTTTTTGAGATGGATGTTTTATTATGGGGAGTGGAGGGTTCAAATTCAATTTCATAAAATTTGGTCGGGAGGGGAGAGTGGGATTGTTTTGAAGTCAAGGTTTCGCGATAGTCGTAACAAAAACTTTGTTATTCAGCTATTTGTTTAGGTACCACACAACTAAACCGACCACCACTGATCCATTAAAATTTCTTGAGTGTTTATAATTATCATTTATGATGAAGCGAGGAGATCGTGGAGTTGATTAATTAATCAAAAAGAGTTGTAGTATCTCCACTTTTTTAAACTCTCCTCATTTTATCACTGGCAAAATAACCAAAATAACATTGGACATTGAGTCACCTACATCCGTGTAAAATTAGAACTTGATCTGAATATTGTGGCGGGCGGAGTGAATTTTTTGGATTCCCCCCTGATTTTCGGCTAATCCGTTTGGTTAATTCTAAAAATGTATACAACAATATTTGTTAGGCTCGTAAAGTTGAATTGAATGACGCCTTGAGCGGGAAGATCGGACAAAGTTGAAAAATGAGTGTGTTTTACCCATTTCATGCGAAAACGCGTTACAGATGTTAGGTATTCCGGGTTTTTCCAGTTGAGTTGTGATAATTTTTTCCATGAGTTGAGTAGTACAACTTTTAAATGTAGCTCTCGGTAGAGTAAGTTGGGATTAGAATCGAAGTAACTGCCTAACCGGGATCTCTAAACAAATTACTCAAGAATTCATAACTTTGGTTCTACTCAATATTTTGTTTTCATTTAAAACCTATATTTTAAGCCAAGCAAACTTAAATGTAATGTCAAAATTTCAAAAGTCTATCATTAACTATTGCCGAACTTACTCTTGACAAAATTGCGTTGGACAAAACGGACACCCAGACAGACAACAAAATTTTTTAAAAGTAGATTTGGTGTCTGTAATGTATAAAACGGAAAGATACCATGAAACGGATTGATTTTATTCAATGTACAGACGAAACCTTTATTTTATTTATATAGAAGCTCTTTAACCTATAAACATATGTTTATTATTAAAAGCACCCTCGACTAACTCCTTCTCATTTTATTATTAACATTTATTATCAACATTAACCGAGATCTATCGTGAAATTATTTAAGAATTCATAACTTTGGTTATACTCAATATTTTGTTTTCATTTAAAGCCTTTGAGCTTTGGGGCTCCACCAAACCATCGAATTCCTATCGTATCCAATCCTAACAATCCAAAATCCTCCGTAAAATCCTTAATGCTCCATACTTTGTCACAAATAAAGCCATTCATAAAGACCTTAATGTACCATATGTCGCTGATTTAGCTCGAGCCAGATATCTATCCTTTCATGATAAACTTCAGTCCCATCCAAATCCGCTTGTTTCCTCTCTTGCTTCTTTCTCGATTCCTGATAATCCTCCTAGGCGTCTGAAAAGAAGATGGCCTCGTGATCTTCTTACTTAAAATTATTTAGAGAGTGCTACCACTGGGTAGTAACTCTTCAAGCCTGTACATGCCATTATTTATATTTGCGCATATTTACTAGATGTATTTGTATACAGTTGTAAATTCCATTAAATAAACAAAGAAACAATTTAAGGCCTATGTTTTAAGTCAAGCAAACCTTAATATAATGTTAAAATTTCAAAAGTCTACAATGAGCCATTGCTGAGCATACCCCTGACCAAATTTCGTTGCAATGCGGACATACAGGCAGACAAAAAAATTTTTTAAAAGCTAATTTGGTGTGTGCAATGTATGAAACGGAAAGATATCATAAAACGGGTTGATTCTATTCAATGTACAGACAAAATCTTTATTTTATTTATATCGATTTGAAGTTGATCTGTAATAATTTAAGTTATTCTATTAAATTAGTTAAATGCAAGAAATATTGCTAGTACAAAACAACAATAGCCCGCGTTGCAGACCCCTTATTGTCAAATTATTAAGATCAAAAGTTCTCAGAAATGGGACATTTTCTCGTTAAAATAATTAATTAATGTGATATTAAAAACTCATGAACACCCATTTGCTTTCAACTTGAATCGTAAGATAATTTTATCACGAAATCGGGGAAAAAAGGTGCCTACAAAAAAATTGGCCAGTTTGGTTTAGAATGGGAAACAATTTACCATTGCACTGGTACTTTGCGATTTCTAACGTTCTTCCATATTTAGTATTATTTTTCACTATAGAAATAAGCCGATAGGTAACTGCAAGACTGTTGCGAGACTCTTACGCAAGACCAAGACCAAGAACAAGTCCTAGACTCGTCTTGGACTCGCATTTGGGCAACACTAATCCCTGATAACCTGCCAAGTCGTCTGAAAAGAAGATGGCCTCTTCTTCTATTTTTTATTAGAGTGCTACCAATGGATAGATTTTCTACAATTCATTCCATGCTACTGTATTTCTTTTTACACATTTACTAGATGTATATTTAATTTATATTACAACTATATAAATTAAATATACATCTAGTAAATGTGTAAAAAGAAATACAATAGCATGAAAAGAATTGTAGAAAATCTATCCATTGGTAGCACTCTAATAAAAAGAAGAAGAAGAGGCCATCTTCTTTTCAGACGCCTTTCATGAATAGTACAAAAAAAAAAAAAATAAAAAAAGGTTTTAAAAGGTAACTGTTTGCAATGGATTGATTTTCATTTTTAGCAAAGAATATTTTTTTTCAATATTGTTTCAATTTAAATTTTATTTTCAGAGCTTAATCGAAGTTTGTTTTATATCTTATATTAAAATTAATCTATCCAGTGTCTCTCTATCACTCGAACACACTCTGAAGTAAAAAAAGTCAGATTAAAGGATAGCTCTTGAAATTTTCTGTCACTATGTCAGAATCGTATACTAAATTCAGACGAAAAGATATCGCCAATAATAATTTCGAAGCAATATTTTCTTTTTGAATCATTCGGTTATGTTATTTGTTTAAGCCATTATACATAGTGTCCCGTAAGTAGAGGGTAATATGTAAAGAAGTCATATAAAACCTCAAGAACAACAAAAAAGCTTATATAAACAATGGTTAAATTTTGAGCAGAAAAATAGGTAATTCAAGTTTTGGTTTTTTTAAGTAAGTCACGATTTTTATAAGATAGGACCGATATCTAGAAAAATATTTAATTTAAGCAACTAAAAATTGTTCCACAGTTACTTCAAATAAAAGTAGAGTTTGACATTGTTAAGACCGTTGATGAGAAGTTTGGAGAGGCTAAACTAAGCTTAGTTCCGTTTACAAAAAAAAAATCATAAATTATTTGCGATTTTTTTTAATCCCCCTTCTAATACACTACACATTTAAAAACTGAATAAATATTTCTAATCTTAATATGTACGTTTAAAATAAAGAAAACTGCTGATTACTTGAATTATATTCATGAAAAGATAATAATAAAGATTAGAAACATTTTGTTGGTTACTTATATATACGTATATATCCCTTTATTAGAGATCTTAATAAAAAACTCAATTTTATAATCACTTTAGATGATTACTTAAAAAATATTTTTTTGGTTATGGTTTCCTGTTCAACAAAAAACGTGACTTACGAGTGATAGATAGACATTGAATAGATTAAATTTTAATATATGATATAAAACAAACTTCGATTAAGCTGTGAAGATAAAGTTTAAAAATGAAGATAATATTTAAACTACACAATATTGAAAAAATTATTCTTTGCTAAAAATAAAAATCAATCCATTGCTGTTACCTAGGACTCCACCTGGACAAACGTCTAACTTGGAATCCTCATACCAGACTAAAACGACAAGAAACAGCTCGACGTTTCCGACTAATTCAACACTTACTAGACAAACGCTCTAAACTTCCAATTAATTACAAAAGACTCATTTATGTGACTATAATAAGGCCTAGTTAGACTTACGGAGTTGAGCTATGGGGCTCCACCAAACCTTCAAATTCGTCTCTTATCCAATCCTTACGATCCGAAATCCAAAAATCATCCACATTGACCTTAATGTTCCTTATGTATCAGATTTGGCCCAATCCAGATACCTATCCTTCCATAATAAACTTCATAAGCATCCCAACCTTCTTGTTTCTATCTTGCTTCCTATTCAATTCACGTTAACCCTCCAGGGCGTCTGAAAAGAAGATGGCCACGTGATCTCTTAATATAGACATATTATTAGAGTGCTACCAATGG